ACGACACACCCAACTCTTGGACCTTGGTGACTCAACTAGAACTTTGGTGGTTTGATGGCTTCCCACCTTATCTTCACTTCAAAGGCACATTACACAATAAAAAGGAAACTGGGAAATCCCAGCAGGAAAAATCTGTGGCCCTGGCCCACTAGTATAACATATGTGACGCTGTCAGGTCGGAAAACGGCCTAAGTAGAGCTTTATATAGGTTCAAGACTGCCCTGTGTGTATGTCCGCATGAGTTTCGACGGCGTTGTAAAGCCTGCACTCTTAGAAGGGGCTCAAATAGGAATGAAACATTTTGTCCTATGCAGTTCTGGACAGTTTGGCTTAATATAATGAGCTCTTTGAGTAGTTCCATCGATTGAAGTCTCGTCCAAAACCCCTTCCATGCCATTTCCGTCTTGGTAACCTCGTATACCTTCTATTTTCACCATCTTTGAGTAGACTAATATTCGCAGAACCAGTGAGTTTTCTCACTTCTTTCACCACCGAAGCTCCATTCCTAACTAATACTTTCATCGTGAACTGTGCCTTTAAGGTGGCCAGGATTGAACGAACTAGCGGGCAAGTTGTTCCAGACAGTACAAACACGGACTTTTACAAGAAATTTTGTTGAATTCTTTTGTTTATTAGATTTTTTCATTAGATTCCTTGACGAATTTCGAGGTGGTACTGTATTAAAAAAACAGATTATTAGGTTTAAATAATTACTTCCATTGACCTTGGCACCGACCGACTTGGACAAAAAACCAAGAATGTTCAGCTATCCGAGGTTATGACTATAAAAAACAAGACATTTCAAGGTGAAGGATGTGGGAACACTCCTATGTGGATTAGAACTGGTCTAGGCACGACCATTCGATTTGGTCAGGTTTCGCTGGTCAATGGAAACATTTTCGTCCGTAGATAGAAGCGCTTAAAGTAAGAAGGAGAGAAATCTCTCGGGTTAGTGGCTACCTACAGCGAGGAGTTCTTCGACTTAACGCCTCACAATCTTTGTGAGGTTTGCTAGCTTCAATTATTCACTTTCTTGTAATATACGACGCGACAATCAGATAATAAAGATAAAGAATAAAGTTATTGACGTTAATCAATCCCGTCTGAAAGATCCGCCCACGCATTCGACTTCCATACAGAATCGTAGTGACGTAATGAGTGCGTATGTGACCTATACAATGACTTGCAGTGGCCAGCAGACAAGCCGATGTAGAAGCCAGTGCTTTCATCCTATCAGACGAGTCTGGCACCAATTGACCGACCCCGCAGGGATGGAAGGCTTGGTTGGCCTAAAATCGATCCGGGATTGGAACCCCTGACCGTGCGTGTGAGATAGTATGCCACTTGCTACTACACCACCTCCGCCCTGCTCAGATAATACCACCTCACAATAGGGGAAATTCTCTCCTCGAAAGTTTGGCGGCGGGCCTTCTAAGGGTTTCCCCATCAACATCGCGAGAACAACACGTGGAGAGAATACGGTTGGATGCTTATCCCGTCAGATTGGTTGGCCTCGTTTCCCGAATTTGTGCAGCGCTGAACAGTTCAATAAGCAGGCAACCTCATAGCCCAAAAATAATTGAATCGAACAACCGAAATGATGTGCCTATTGTTAAACGACGACGAGTTGATGGATAGTCATGCGGAACATACCCGAATAATCTGTGAATTAAGAACGTGTGCAGGACAACTAGTGAAAAAACTCGCAGAAAAATAAGGCCCGAACTGCTCAACCTCCGATCTCCCTGAATCAAGCTAAATGATGGGGATGGATCGTTGCATTGTTTTTTGAAAGACCGTTGCAAGACATCCCTCTACAGCATCTGATGATCTCTTGCTCGACTTAATTGCTAATTTTATTTGTTTTCGGCACTTGTCGAAGGATAAGTTCGTGGCTAACTATAATGTATCATAATTAACCATAGTCCTTGACCTATTTACGTTTCTTTGAGATTATGTACCATCGGCGGATCTTCAATATCAAGGATGAAGTGTTCTGGCTAAATCAACCCCTTTTTTGGGCTACGTCGTCGAGTCCTATTGGCGTTCTATATGCGTATGTCGTCTACACGTTAGCGGTGACCAGCCCGTCAATAACTCAGTGCTTTCATCCTTTCAGACGAGTCTTGTACCAATTACCTGACCCAGAAGTGATTGGAGTTTGGTTGGCTCAGGCAAGTACCGATCTGGGACTCATGCTCTGATTATAAACATGTGATGGTGCGCCACTTGCCCCTATACCATCCGGTCTGGATGATTTAATCTGATGCATCAGGGAGAAGTAAAAAAATCGTTTTCCCTAAACTTTTCTCCTTTACACTTTTAAGAATATGTTTGAGAGAGAAGACAGGAGTAAGTTTTCTGCTCACCGTTATTTAAAACTGGCACCCAATGACTGAGAGGTGCGGCCCCGCACTCGACTTCCATTCAGAATCGTAGTGTCGTAATGNATGCGTATATATGTAGTCTATACAATGGCTTACGGTGGCCAGCCAATGTAGAAGTCTGTGCATTTATCCTCCCTGATGGGCCTCGTACTAATCAACCGACCTAGGAGGAATGGAAGGCTTGGTTGGCCTAGGCGGCTATCGATTCGGGGATTCGAACCCCTGATCATGAGCATGTGAGATAATGCATCACTTGCCACTACGCCACCTCCGCCCTAATTTATACTCCTTTACGATATTTCACTATTAGTCCTTAGCCATTCCACCTATCGTGTGCCACATTCAATTTTTTCTTTATGAGGATTTTTTTCGAAATCCTCAGACTTCATCTTTATGGCTTTTGACTTCCCATTCAGAAATACGAGCGACTTACCCGACTACCAGTAAACCCGAAGGCTTGCTCGCGATAATAATGTCCCCAGAAATCCGCTATTGAAATGGGTTTACAGCCGCTGAAAATATTACAAGGGGCACGCTCGTGTGGAAAATTGGCCTAGCTCGGACGCAAAAAAGGATCAGAATCGAAATTCTCAAAAAAAGAGTGATTTTGTGTAGGCTGTCACTTGTAATCGCTTAATTCCTAAGGCAACTGCATGCGTCACTCTACAGCTAAAAGAAATCTCGTTCAAATACCCATTCGTCGAAATATCCCCATCCAACTCTGGAAACTGAACTGATTCAAGATGACCTTATAACTTGGAAGTTCTGCAATAATTCTGTTTTTCGTCGACTCCGATTTGCTATTCTTCGTCAATGCTTCCGCTCTGTGACTTAATGAAGATGTATCCATCTAGATGTATCAAAACTGTACGACCAGAAACTTCCACAAAGAGAAGAAAATAAGCGCACTTGTCATTTCAAAAGGCTTAACAATTCTGCTGCCCAATTATTTTAGATAGAAATCAAATGTCTGTGCCATACCAACCGACATTGTTCCTTGACTACAGACAGAGCCTCTGTGGCTGCTTCGTTTCCATAGAATTTGCATTTGTTGACGAACCTTCTTTTCTGTAGCTTTACCTCGAAAACACCGCTTGGAAAACCTTTTCTCAAATTTATTGAAATTGCTCTAAGCGCTATAATTGTGTGTAGCAATCATAACTGTATTTAACTATTATATTGGACATTTCATTTTTTTGATCCTTTCTTTCTGCTCGAAACTGTACACTTTTGAACCGTAGTAACTCACCTTTTTTAAATGGAGGTATTACGCATAGTCAGGTACTTCCTACCTGCGGTCCATTAATCCTTCACAATTAGCTTCTAAGTGAACTAAAATTTCCTCTTGGTAAGTCCGTGAGCTAGCTGATCTTGCTGAGCCTCGGTATTAGGCCCTGGGTCGCGTTCAGGCCGAAGAAACATCCACTCTGCCGGCTGGAAAGCATCATCGGTTGCTTGTCGCCCAGACCAAAGTGTACCTACATATTGCTATTGCTACACCTATTGCTGTCATTCTGGTTTGTTCTCTGTGCAGTATCCCTAAATGGTATACCTCCCGGGTATGTTGAGTTTCATGCTCCTTACATGGGCAGTTGACAGATGAGCGCTGACTTCCCGATGATTTTATATTCAGCAGGGTATAGGGAGCTAGGAGAACGTCCTGAGTTCAATGACGGCTTGTATAAGTATTTTGTTCATTGTATTTTTTTTAGTTTCGGTCAATGGTTGCTCCGAACTAACATTTGCCTTTCCTACCATAGCGCACCTTTGGAGACATTAACATAAACCACGAACTGTGATTAGCTTTCGATTGATCGCTGCTTACTTGCTTTGATTGCTCACAACGATCACTTTATCGGTTTCAATTCCCTTTCAGGCATGATACTGCTGTTGATGTTGATTGTCACCACAAATGGAGAAGCCATCAAACCAAGACGTCATGAGGATCACACCTTTCCTGCTGACGACATCATTGAACTGCCAGTCGGAAGGTGCTTGTCAAACTACATCGATCTCTTTGCAAATTTCTGAAATTCCCCGAGTACCCTAAAACTTTCGATAGTGTTTCCGCTTGATTGGGACCCATTACTTTGCCAATCATTCTCACCTAGCATTCTGATTCCTTGAGATCGTGTCTATAGAATGATTTACTGGGGTCAGCTTATGTACAAGTCAGCTCTTTTATCCACCTAGCCCAGCTGGGTAAAAACTGATACCCTGCCGCAGCTGTTGAGTAGTTCATTGTTTGTTTCTACAGCGGATACCCATACACTCGTTTCGATCCTCAGTGGTAGTGCGCCCTCCGGCACTACACCACCTCCTACCTTCTTTAAGATATTTGTAGAACTATGAACACCCAATTTTTTTCACACAAACAATTCTTATTCAAGGTTTCCCGATCCCGACTGCGAGTACGCCGTCTTCAGAGATGGACGATTCGGTCCGAAAGTAAATGGGTGAGTTGAGCGCCTACATTTCTACCGTAATCAAATTTTATCCTTTCCTTTAGTGAAGATGATATTTCAATTTTGAAGGAAAATACGTGTTGGTGATGTTGTTTTCCATTCGTGGAAATGTAGTTATGGAGCCCACGACAGTAGTATGTACTGCTTGATGGTGAACAACTGCACGGTGTCCAGCGAACGGGACTCCTCGCAAAAGGTTAGTAGCCAAAATAGAGTCACAGTTCACGATAGAAACGGCTTATGAGATGTCCCGTTAGGGTAAAACTGTCTCCTCGTATACCATAAGTGGCGCAGTCAGGTCGGAAAACGGTATAGTCAGCTCAGAGATTGTCTCGTATGTGAGCGCGGACGAGTTTCAACGATTTGGTAGAGGCTGTACCATTCACAAAGGAGCCGACGTAGGAAGTTTAGACATTTCGTCCATACCCATAGCGACAAAGAGAGGCAATTTTGGACAATTCTTGCTTGACGTAGTCACCTTTTTACGCAGCTGCAACAAATGAAACCTCGTCCAAACAACCCTTATATGTCATTTCCATCATGATCTCGTACAACCTATAACTTCATTTCCTTTGAAGGGCCCTATTTTTCGCAAAATTGGCGAATTTTCTCGCTTCCTTCACCACCGATGAACTATTCCCAACCAATATTTCCGCTTTTCGACTTTAGAAGGGTACCTCAAAATCATCGTGAACTGTGCCGTCAACTGATGCAAAAGGCTTTCAGGACAGATACAGACTGGCAATTCCAGGTGCCCATATTGGACGAGTTCGGCTGCTCTTTATTCCCGAACGTTATTCCACATGTCGAATATCCATCTGATCTCAACGGCGGATTACTTGTAAACGCATTTTCACTTGACGTCGATCAGGTAGGTAACGGTAAATCATCAGACCGATCAGACAACTGTTTAGACAGTAAGGCGCTGCTTCATCCTTTCATTGGGTGAGCACTCTGATCAAAGTCTGAGTCTGAGGAACATTTTTGACAACTAACTGTTTCCAGGCTGCCGTTTTCTTTGAGTGCAACGTGAAACTACTTCTGAAGTTGAACGGCGTCTGTCGACGACCTACATGCCGTCCCCTGGAAGAACTACGAGGTGCCAACGCTCGCTATCGTCGACATGGCCGAGTTCGAAGATAACCTTCCGATAGAGCTATTGTCATTATAGACGAGTAATCAGTAGGCAGTTAACTCGCTGCACTGGTTGCCAATGTCACTTAGTATTGACTATGTACAGCGATTTGTTCTTTCCAAATTTGCTACGGGTCCAGTAAATATTATTCCAAGGTGTTTTACAGGATTCAGATCGCCTTGTATTTTAACATCTGCTTTGCAGTGTTCAACTAAATGATTGGCTCGTAAAGCTAGCACAATAATGTCACCGAAAACCATAAATAACTTCTCAAAATGAGGGAGTATCACGTCAGAAAGGCGAGTCCGGTATCTTATCCCCGAAAACGGCGTCGCATTCGCCGCGTCCGATCGCGCGCAGTCGTGCGTCTGAAGGGAAAAGTTTGAATCCCAGTGCAAGGATAGGGTAACCGCCGCGGGACCTCTGCTGCTTGCCGTGGGAATTCGGAAGAAGTTCCGGCACCGCAGGAAGACTAGTGTGTTTCTACCACTTTTTACATTTCCTTGGCAAAACTCAGGTTACTCCGTTGTTCAGTAACATCAAGGAAATTTATTAGGGCCACTTGCCTTGAGAAGTGTCTGGTCGAATATGCTCTTAACAAAGTGACACTTCGACTGGCCTAATAGCGAGTCTCTCTGATTCGTACTAGCAAAATTAACTGAATGGTATAACAGGACTTGGTGTTGGTCCCAAAAATAGAACTGCGTGCGTTTAGTACTGCAAATCACGAAAAATATAAAAAAAGTCCACAAAAATCAAAAGGAGCAGGCTTCCTTCAGCAGCTGCTTCCAGTAAGTGCACTAAATCGGGAGACGGGCGTTAGGAACGATTTTGGGGTAGTCGCTTTGCCGCACGCGGCTGTCGCGGACCACTCATTCGCCGTTATTACAGCTCTAGCGTTCTTCATACAGCTCAATCGATATGCGATCATTATTTTATGCAAAATTCTACTATTAATACTTTTGTTCTTGTATTTCTTACCTATTGCTGCATTCCGCTACATTCCTTCGCGCGCGACGCCCCTCTCACCGCGACGCGACCTTTTCGTTCCTAACGCACCACACCCCACAAAATCGAGAAAGGATTACTCGTACGCTCTGCAGGGTGAGCTTTTTTCCTGTAGTCATTCCATAACGATATGGCTCTTCGAATGGGGGGAATTCGAATCCTGGCAAAGGAGTACTCAGGCAAGTATGTCCACCTTGTAGTCTTCCTTCAATAACATAATGATCTCTTGTTAGATTTTACCCGTGGGCTGTGGGTGAACATTTGAAAGATTAGATCAGAGAGTGAGAGATCTAGAGAAGTAGAAGTAAATACTGAAGTTAAGCTCTCATTGAATGGTTCAAGCTTGAAGGGTTCTCAGGCATACGCTTCCCCTACATAGGCGCTATCACTAAAACTTTGTTTCATTTGTTTCGTTAACGTTGTTTTTCGTCGTCGTTCACGATGAGAATGTTGTCCCAAGAATGGTGAGTCATGGCGAAAATATCCTCGGAAGGCACTCGAATCTCTCCCTCCCCTCTTGAGCTTGTGCTGCCCTGTTGCCCTGCCCATATAGTGAGCGCTTCAATTGAGTCCAAGTAGGGAGCGTATCAGTTAAGTTGCATTCTGTGCTTTACCCCTTGCGTGAAAAGAATGAACAGTGGCCAGAAAAGAATATGATGAAAAGAGTCAGAAAAACTGATTGCAGTATAAGACCATTAAAGCAGTCTCCACAAATATATCCATAATGAGAGGGAAGAGTTGTTGTAGTGGCAAGTGGTGTATTCACGGTCGCAATAAGGACTTCATCGTAGAACTAGATTGCAGTAAATCATGCTACTCGGTATATTCAAAAACTCATATTCGCATGTAATAAGAAAGAAAAGCTGAAATGTCGAAAAGTTCGGCTGCTATACTGCGGTGAGAGAAAGGTTATCAAATCTGTTCGAGAACATAGCAATTTCGGAAAAGGCTGACCATTCGTATAAAAAGCGAATACGCTATCGTCTTAATTTCTAGTCTCATTACTACCTAAAAAGCTGTTCATATGTTTGAAAGGCTAGTAGACGGACAGGCGGATGGCCATGCTGACTGTACAAAAGTAATGGATCATCGTGATTTACCACAATAAGCCGCTTCAATTTGCTCCAGTGTCATACTCATTTCCTCAGGCTGTTCGTAGTACTGATAGGAAAGAAGTGATGGATCAATCCGTGATCAGTTCATGAAACAGCGATTCCATCTCACTCGGATGGGCGCTTTGTTGGAAAGAAAATCGTTTTATACTCCTGTATTGATACTTGCATGCATTTATGTTGTACATTTCCCATCCCTGACCGATGTTGCAGCACTGTGAGATCGTGTTTTATCATATTTCGGCATAAAGGGAGAAGCAGCAACTGCAAGGAAACTACCAGTTTGATAAGCCTTCGTATGCCGGCACGGAACCCTTTTAGGTACTTCTGCTAGAGTCTCGC